TTCATCAACTACACATCGCTTGGTATTTACACCTACACATCACTTTATTTGCTTTGCCTGACAAAATGAAAAGTATTGGGAATTGTTCAGGGAAATATGCCAAAAGAATCTTAGGGACTCTGGGGCTTTAAATATTTTCCCAGTTACACTAATGAAAAGGAATTTTGCTTGAGAGCTCAACTCTGAGGGCAGCTGCAGGGCATTTGAAGACTGCTCAGGTTCCACTGGGCCTTCACCAATTTCTATGCAGAAGTTTCTAGAACTTTTCTGAATTGCTTGGACCTCGAAGCTAAAAAGGCAGCTCAAACTGGGCTGTGAGCAGACTGAATTTCACACCAAAACATTAAAATCCTGCATGTCGCTTCATCTTTTTTGTCTGCAGAATGCCAAATACCTGATCTGATTGTCTTTTTTAAATGTTTCAACCCATTATTTTGGTACTCTTTGCTGACTTTTTAAAGATTTTTGCCTTTCTGAGTAACTATTTACATACCTGCAAGATTTCCTTTTATTTGTACTACTTGCAGAAAAGAACAAAGTTGTTTAGTAGAAACCTCTACGCTGACAGAGCCTTTGAACTGTTTTCTTCAGTCGAGGATTATGGGAAACATGAGAAAATGGATGATGGAATTTATTGTTAAATTTTGAAAACCTTCCAAGTCAGCCAGGCACGGTGGCTCAAGCCCGTAATACCAGCACTTGGGAAGCCGAAGTGGGTGGATTGCCTGAGCTCACAGGTTCAAGACCAGCCTGAGCCAGAGTTAGACCCCATCTCTAAAAATAGCTGTGTGTTATGGCGGGCTCCTGTTGTCCCAGCTACTCTGGAGGCTGAGGCAGAAGAATCTCTTGAGCCTAAGAGTTTGAGGTTGCTGTGAGCAATGATGCCACAGCATTCTACCAAGGGTGACAAAGTGAGACTTTGTCTCAAAAAACAAAAACAACTGTTCCAAGTCATCAAGATGCCCATAATGAATGCTATATTTCCACATGCTCTTTGAGCATGTGGGTTTGGAGTTCATGGATAGGCCTGGGACTAAGGGCACTAATACTCTTCAATAAAATTCTGGAAAATGGTTCAAAGTTCTACCACATCTCTTTATATAAGCAATCTTTTTGATCTTTGAGTAAATATAAACTTCTTTCGGATTGTGTCCAACTTGTCACAGAGTACTTTGACAAATTTTTGTTGCATTTGACAGTCAATAGTACAGTATAACCTCACTAAGCTGACCACCCATAGGACTCTAACTGTCAACTTATAGAGGTGGTCAACAGAAGGAATGAGGTCCACTGTACATTAAGTTCACATGCATGTCTGGTCTGTGAAAATCAGGTCAAGTTGAGGAGGTTGTCAATGTACAGAGGTGGTCAGCTGTGGAGGTTTTACTGTATTTATCTTAGAAAAGGCACCATTACATCCTCAACTATTTTCTGCTAGTCTGTGTCCTAAACTGGTGATCAGAGAGCAGGGAGAGTGGACGTTGTTACCTACTTTACTTTTTGATTTTTGTTGACCTCCTTGAGCTTGTGGCCTGTAGGTGAGATCACAAAGCTGTAGACACCATCACAAAGCTTATTATGATGCCATCTGAAAACTTATGTAATGATCGTGTAGTGAGCACGCTAGGATTTGGGGTGGTGGTGCCTAATCTTCTTTGAAATGCTAAAGAAGGTACCATCCACAGTCACAGTCCCATCTCCATAAACTTACAGAAAAAGAAAGGTGATTTACTTGGTGCTGGTTCTTTTCTGAATCAACTTGATGATTTGTAATCTGAGCAAAGGATACTGGGGGGGAAATCAAACCGAAGTTTGATACCAAATGCAGGAATGAGGTGAAATAAATTTTTTATTGTACCTCTCCTTTTATTGCTCCCAATAAATACTTCCTAGTTTCTGATTTTCCTGAATTGTATGAGTTGGCAGAAAGTGGAGCAGTCCTGTGTTTCTAATTAAGAATTGGACGCTTCGCTGAAGTTTGAGGAGGTCATCTCTGGGCGTGTCTGCTTTTGGCTGTCTCCGGCGGCTCTGCTCACATATCCCTGGGAATGAGAATGTAATCCTTCATGTGACACAGTTTAAGTAAACCACTTAGTCCTCTGCAAACACCGAATGCTCAGTCCAGCACTTAAAACTACACTGCTTTGTTGTTTTTTTAATCTTTGTGTAGTAGATCTCCTAACGTAATTCCCACTTTGTCTTTTTTGTTTTGTTTTTATTATTTTTATTTATTTTTTATTAAATCATAGCTGTGTCCATTCATACTATCATGGGGTGCAGTGTGTTGTTTCTATATACCATTTGAAATATTTTCGCCCAACTGGTTAACATAGCCTTCATGTCATTTTTCTTAGTTAATGTGTTAAGACATTTATATTATACACTTAGAAAGATTCACATGTACCCTTTTAGGATAAACCATAGGCGTGATCCCACCAATCACTACGTTTGATGCTACATTTTTCTTTACGGGCTGTGGGAAGATTGTGATGCCTGTGGGCTTTTAAGTGCTTTTATTCCCTCTGTATCGAAGAAAGTAAATAGTCGACTCAAAGTCTGAGCACCTTTATGTCACTTTGAGTCTTCATGTTGACCCCACTCCAAAGTTGCTATTTAGACAGATGCAGAGGCCACCTGTAATTTAGTGCTATGTGGCTTGAGGAGCTGGGGGTTTCTTTTGCTTGGCGACGTCCAGATTGGCTCACTGGCTCTCACAATAGCGGTCACCGGCGACCTCCTTGTGGCTAAATCTACTGACTGCTTCTCAGGGGTCACCTCACTTCGAGACTCAGTGGTGTTTAACTCCCTTCATCTCAAAACACTCTCTTCCTTGGCCTCCTTCCAAGACTTCCCGGGATAGCCCCACCCCCTCCTTATTTCCCCGGGTGTCCAGCCTTTTTTCTTTTCCATTGCTCATTGGAAGAACAGGAGTTGTTTGGGGCCACATGTTAAAAACAAAAGAACGCTGACGAGCACAAGAAAAGGTCCAGGCATAATCTTCATGCTGGCCAACACCTCAGACAGGCAAAACAGTCCCCAATAATCCACATGTGGCCGTGTGGGTCTCAGTTTGGACACCCTGCGACTGTTCCTCCTGGTTTGCTCTGGGCCTTTCTTCTCCTGCCTAGTCCTTAAAGGCCAATGTACTGAAGTGCCCTTACCCCTTTCCTCTCTCTGTGCACTCTCCCTGGGTGGTCTGACCTTTCCGTGCTTTAAACGGCTCATTAGGTTTTGGTTTCCATCCTTGGAAATGGACTAGTGAAGTCAGATGACTGGGTTTGATTCCGGCTCTGCTGTTCATGGGTTATATGGCCCCGGGCAAGTTATTTAAACTCTCTGTGCCTTAGTTTCCTCATAGATTAACTAGACAAATAATTCATCCAGTATGAATAAACCTGTCCTCGCCTGCCCCCAGCCCACCCTCCATGTTATCTGGCCAACATTTATTCATGTATCTGCTCTCAGCTTAGAGGTTACTTCCTACAGAGAGCCTTCCCTGGTGTTCCAGTCTAGATCCTTTAGATCCTTTTTCCATGCGCCCTCATAACACAGTGAGGTGGCCCTCTTTCCCCTTCTTTGTGTTTGTCACATACACTGTGATTGCTGCTGTAGCCACATCTCCTATCAGCCAGACGCTCGGTGAGAGCAGGGATGGAGCCTGATCTGATCATCACTGTATCCCCAGGGTCTAACCCAGGGCCTGCCATGTGAGACTTGATAAATATTTGCTGAAATGAATGTATTGCAGGAGCAGTGATGCATCTGCAGGTTTGGCAGGTCAGGAAACTGTTGGATTTCTTGTCATTGAGTATCTTATACAGCCCAGCGCACATTCTCTAACTCAGAGGAGACCAAATTGGAAGCCCAAATGACAGTTTAGAAAAACCTTCATGCTGGTTACATTACAGTAAACTAACGAACAATGTCATCAGCGCCTGTGTCTTTGTACCGTGATGTTGTTATGAATGCATGAATATTCGGTTTTATAGGGTGTCGTTTTCAACAGGAAGCTTCTCTGGGGCAGAAGGTGTCCCTGGAGAATGTGGAAGGGCTTTGGACTTATTCTTTTCAAACGTAGAAGGGCTGTTATATGGACCAGGATTAGGCTTAGTGTGTAGAATTCCAGGAACTAGGAAGCAGCAGGAATGCAGACATCTCTTCTTTAGAACAAAGAACTTTCTGTCACAGCTGTCTGGAAGTGAGTGGGCACCATGTAGGTAGAGAGCTCCTGTCACTGTCTGTGTTCAGGCACGGCACGGACAACTGCAGGAAGGGACAAACCCTGGGCATGGAGGAGATGGACACGTGGACTTCAGGGTCCTTTGTAGGCCTGAGAGTCTGACGTGTCCCCCTCACACAAGGGCCACTGAGCCAAGGCCCTGTGCCCTCACCCCTAGCCCCCAGTAAATGTCTTGGGAAGAATGAAAACCAAATTACTCACCAGCAGGAAATGACATCCATGTGGTTATTTATTTTATTATTTTTTTTATTTTTATTAAGTCAAATACACATAGATCATGAATACATTCATGCATATGTGGGGTACAGTGTGCTGGGGTTTTTTTATACAATCTGACGTGGTTACATTAAGCCAATCAACATAGCTTTCACGTCATTTACTTGATCCTGCCAAAACATCTATGTTCCACTTCACAGATTTGACTCGTACCCTTATCATATGCTCCATGTTATTTAATCCATTGTGAGGGATGGTTGTACAGAGTTTCTTGAGATTGATACTGCCATTAGGCTAACTCCCCAATAACTATTCCTTTTTTGATCCATTGGTAAAGATGTATCTGTGTCTTGACATTAGCATAAGCCCGGTAGGTGTGATATGTGGGTGGACCATTCTGGTCCAGGACAATGGAATTGTTGAGTGGATTTTGGAACTGTATGTTCTTTAGTAACATCCTCGGATTTGGTTCTGGTATCTTAGGCGGGTGTCACACAGATCGCCTAGGAAATTTTTATGAAATTCATTCTCCCCTTCAAATCAGGATCACGCCCACCCCGCTTGGAGAAGGGAAGAGCACAGTGACGATTGGGCTTGTGCAGGCTCTGACCGCGCACCTGAATGTCAACTCCTTTGCCTGTCTGAGGCAGCCTTCCCAAGGACCGACTTTCGGAGTGAAAGGTACTGTATTCAGCAACCAGTATGATTTGGGGGCGGAGAGTTTAAACATTATCAATCAGCAGATAAGGAGTTAAAACATTTCAGAGGAGCTGGCCCATTTCATCACCGCATACTCAGCTGGGAATAGTCCCCCATTTGGTCCTCCTGCAGACAAAGGCAAATAGAGGGAGCTGAGGGGTCTTCACTAGAGCCCCTCAGGAAGCCTGTTATCCCGCTCTGTCTCTCAGGGCCTTGAGCAGAGCTTTCCGCTTCATCACTGCCTCTTTGCCAAGTGATCTGGAAAGGCTGCCACCCATATTAGTGTTTTACCATCCCAGCCCCCATAAAAGGTCTCTTCCCTTAAAAAGTCAGAGACCCTGTGGTCTCAACTGTGTGGGCCTGAGCAGCTCACTGGTGACCAGCTGGCTGTGGACAGTGAACTGTAACGAGACGCCTCTGTGGCTGTGTGTGGCTGATATCTGGCTCAACTCACACAGTCAACACTAGACTTGGTGGGTGAAGGCTGAGGTTTCATTCATGGCTCTGCGTATCTTACTGCTGTGTGGCCTTCAGCCAGTCACAACCTCTCTGAGCTACGTCTATAAAAATGTGAAAAGACTGATATTACCAGGCTCACAACTTGGAGTGAAGACCAATTGCAATAGCATATGAAGAACAGGAGATATAGTAAAATGATACCCACCTGGACAGTCTTATTATTGTTTTAGGAAAGAAAAGTCTTATAAATATTAGAACATTGTGAGGTGTCATAGTGACACCCTGTCTCAAAAACAAACAAACAAACAAACAAAAAACTGCAAGATTTGGGGGAAATCATTCTTGTGGTTCCCACCATGCACATGGTATTTGGAAATAAACCTTGCTCTGATTAATCTGCAAAAAAAAAAAAAGAAGAACATTGTGAGGGATGAGCGGTACGGTAAATCTTACTGTTATCAAAAATAAACTGACTGAAGTTTATACTTTGTTAAGCTGAGGCAGTTATCAGGTGGATTATTTTTAGCAACATTTTCTGATACTTCAATGCCCGTAGATGAAACATAGTCACATTAATCTAATAGTAAATTAATAACATCATCTCATTTCTTGATGTGTTTTATATAGTAATAATATTTCCCTATTATGCATACCTTTGTATTGTTACACAATGAAACGGACGTTTTTAAATTACGTAGTTGGACACACGTGAACTTCTATTTTTTTACCTCTGTTCTGCTTAGACAGAGCGGGTGACGTTACTCCCTGTCGTTATTTCATCCTGGATGTAGGTGCCTCCCTGTTGGGTTTGGGGAGCTGTGTCCCAGGGCTCTGTCCCTCCAGTGTAGCTGTTCTTGGTGACCAGTTTCAAATGCTACTTGTTCTGTTGTTTAGGGGGAGCTGCGGGTGGCGGATACGCCCAGGTCATTCCCATGGAGGAGGTAAGAGCATGAAGCGACATGTGTCAGGTGTCACTGTGCCTCCTTTCTGTCACCGTTCTCTCTGCTGCTCCCTCAGCACTGTCCCTCATGCACAATCCAAAGCCATCGAGGCTCTGAAGGCCAAGTCTGTTTTCCTCACTTCTGTGGTGGCAAAACCTGACCTTGACTGTTGTGCAATGTATATGTCCTTAGTTTGTGCTACTTGATGTGAACATTCATATGTTGCTGGAGAAAAATTAATGGTGATTAATGAGTGCTGACCTAACCCCTGCTTGTGGTATTTTATAAATTAACTACATGTACGTCACACGACCTTCCCAATTTCTAAAAACTTCTCAATCCATCTAAACCCATCTAGCCTTGAGGGTTCTGAGCAGGAGAATTTAGAGCTGTACGTCCATTGATCGTCTGCTGTATTGCCAAGCTCAGGAGGACTTCGTGCCTTACTTCTGTCAGTTAAGACTCCACAATGAAATCATTCCAGAAGAAAATGGGCAAAAAGAACTGATGGTGTTAATTTGTACTTCTCCATCTATGTTCTGTCTGGCCTCACCCTTGTCCCCCAAGTCCAACCAGTGACCAGTGCATGTCACATATATTGTCTATATCAGCCTTGTAGTCCAGACCCTGCACCATCTCCTACAGCCAAGTCTGAGCAGGCTCCACTCCTGTTTTATAGTTTTAGCAGTCACTTGTCACTCTCAAGCAGGGCGAGGGTGGCTGCTGCGGTTTCACGATCTGTGGATTCCCACCTGCACCCCTTCTCTGTGATACCAAGCTCCTTGCAGACTCCTTTCTTGTTTTCTCTCTGCTCTAAGACTTTTCCTTTGCCTGGAACATTCCTGTCTTCTTTTTTTGCTCTCTCTACCCAGCTTTGGTGCTATTTGCCAGGTTCTGCACCCCACCCCCTAAATTCTACCCCTGTTCACAGCTGTCTGGTTCAGTCGGCTGTGTGGCTGCTGGCCTTTCTCGAAGTTTCAGATCCCAGCACTTCCTAGGTACTCACAAAGAAGTACGTGTTGACTTTGTTGAAGGAACAGGAGAAGTGATTACGTGAGGAGGCCTGACTGTCAGGGAAACCAAAGAGCTAATTTAGATAAACGTCAAGTACTGGGGGTGGGGTGAGAAAGAGCAGCCAAGACATTGCTGAGAAAAGGAGCCCCGCCCCTCCCCATGTCTGGATGGGGGTGGGCAGCACTCGCAGGCTGGGAAGATCTAGTTAGGAGGCCAAACTGGGGAAACTGGGGATGGAGCACAAGGAACAAGCCCAGGAGAACAGCTCGGGGCCTGGCTGGCAAATACTGAAGGTCACTGGTGTCCCTGTAGGTTAGGGGATCAGCTGGGTGGCTCGAAGGGAAAGCACCTATGGTAGCGGAGTTGACCAGACACTCCCAGGAACTTTGTTCCTTGTAGTTGAGCACCTCCCGGGTCCCCATCATGTCTGTCCCGTGGCTCTGACTGCTGCTGTGGACCGAGTGCCGTGCGCCGACAGTGCTTCCTGGAGGAGCTCGCTAAATGAAGGACCACGTGGGAGCTGGTTAGAATAAAGTCCAGGCGGACTGTGGAGCTGAACGAGAAAATACTGAGACTCGAAAGCCAAGAGGAGCCGGCCTTGTGAAGCCCTGGGACAGGAAAGGGCACTGGCGGACACCAGGGTGTCCGGAGCCCAGTGAGCCGGGGGAAGGGAGGAAAAGGGAGGCCAAGAAGTGGGCAGGTACTGGTTCTCTCAGGTGATTGCAGTTCTTAGCCAAGAAGCCGGATTTTAACTGGGGTGCTGTAGTCAGCAAATTGAGTTTTATAGAATTCACTCTGGTTTCATACTAAGAAGGCCCTGAGGGAGCCCCCATGTTGACACAGGTGAGGACTGGATTTCCCAGGGGAAAGATGGCAGGCGCTCAGCCCGGAAGGAATGGTGGCAGGGAGGACGGGAAGGAGGATGATGCCTTAGGATTTGTTTGCTGATGTTTTCAGGATTAGGTGTGGAGGGGGGAGAAAAGGGGAGGATTTGGGGATGACACCAGGCTTGAGCAACTCAGTAGAGTTATTTCTTTTTCTTTTTTTTTTTTTTTTTGTTGAGACACAGTCTCACTTTGTCACCCTCTGTAGAGTGCCATAGTGTCATAGCTCACAGCAACATCAAACTCTTGGGCTCAAGCAATCTTCTTGTCTCAGCCTCCCAAATAGCTGGGACTAGGTGCCTGCTACAATGCTGGGTTATTTTGTAGAAACAGGATCTCACTGTTGCTCAGGCTGGTCTTGAACCCGTGAGCTCAGTCAATCCACCTGCCTCAGCCTTCCAGAGTGCTGGGATTACAGGCATGAGCCACCATGCCTGGCAGAGTCATTTCTTGAATCAGAGAACTGGAGGAGAGATGAGTATGAGGTTTGAACTGCGTGGTGTGTGAGGTGGATGGCTGTGTCAGGAGCAAGTGCTCTTTGGGGCCTTTGAAACATGACAGTGCCTCTCAAGCAGACAGCTGGAAGGAAAACATCCCAATCGAAAAAGGCCAAAGCCTTTTGGAAACAGCAGAAAAGAAAGATTAACACACCACTGAATGTTTGTCTTCACTAATAATCAATCTACATTAACCCACTATCAGTTACCATTTGACTTGTCAAATCGGCAGAATTGGTTTTTTCAAATACTAATGATACAAAATTTTGGCAATGAGAGCTTGAAGTCTGTGCTCATTAAACTTTTCTAGAGGAGAGTATGAAATACAAATCAAGTGCCTTAAAGACTTATATACTCTTGGCTGGGTACAGTGGCTCACACCTGGAATCCCAGCATCTGGGAAGCCAAGGCAGCTAAATTGCCTGAACTCATGAGTTCAAGACCAGCCTGAGTCAGAGCGAGACCTCGTCTCTAAAAACAGCCAGGCATTGTGACACACACAAGGCTGAGGCAAAAGCATGGCTTAAGCCCAAGAGTTTGAGGTTGCTGTGAGCTGTGACGCCACGGCACTCTCCTGAGGGGTGACAGAGTGAGACTCTGTCTCAAAAAAATAAAGAAAAACCTACATACTCTTTGGCCCAAATAAATTCATTTTTAGCTTATCCCAAGGAAAAGATGGGTATGTATGCAAAGATTTAATTTTAAAACTATGAGCCTTCTTTACACAGCTTATAACATAAAAAAGTGGGGGAAGAACTTAAACGTCAAATAATCGGATATCATGTTAACTATATTTTGAAGACCAATTTTAAAATGCTAGTAATGTTAACATTTAGTATAAAAGCTAAATTCCAAACTATTAGAGTGTTATGATCCAATATTTAAAATTATAAATATATTTTATAAGATATACATACATAAATATAATTTTTCAAATTTTCTCCAGTATACATATGTTTGTAAGGTATGAAGTAATAACAAGAAATTTAAAAACTGTTTAATATTCCAAGAAATTTTAAAAATGCAATTTAAAACAGAACACCCCATCTCACCTATTAAATTATTGATTTAGTCCAGAGGTTACTTGTTTCTGAATTGTAGGTGGTAACTTCATCTCTTTCAAAAAGCAATTTTGTGGTATTTTCAAGCTAATGCAGTAAGCATACCCCTGAAAATACATTGCTCATTAACAATTAATTGTTTTAGAAGAGGAAATAAACTATTTGCATATATTCTGTGTGTTTGTATATATATTATTACCACCATGGGGGATTTGTATATATTCTTTACAATTGCAGGCTTCTTTGCAAATGTGAAAAAATTTGGAAGCAACTTAAATATCCAGACATAGGAGGCTAAAAACTTTGACATAGCTATGATATACAATCCCTATTAACTTGACTGTGCACACAGCGAAAATAAGGAACCCAATCACTGAGTCCACTGGAGTATTTTGCCCTTAACCCAGGAGTGGAAGAATTTGCAATCAGAGAGACTGCTCGAGAGGTCTTTGTTGTCCAGGACGTTGATTTGCTGATTTAAGCTCTCCTGTGGACTCAGCTCATTAGAAGGATATGTAGTTAGCATATTATTTTATTCATTCAGGCAGTCCTTGATTTCTGCCATGGTTATTTGAAACCAAGAGAAGGATGTCTCTCTTCATTCCTAGTTCAACCTTCACTTGACTGGCGACATCCATGCCATCACGGCTGCCAATAACTTGCTGGCTGCTGCCATCGACACAAGGATTCTGCACGAGAACACTCAAACAGACAAGGTGGGAAGGATTCCTTGCTATCCATTTGGGGCAGCGTATCAAGGACTCCTGGATCCTTAAGGAGCTAATAGAAAGACTTTCAGACATGGTAACCTCTGAAATTTTATTCAGAACTTGATGAATTTTCTTTATGTCTGTTATTTCCTGAGGAGAGGATCCATACTTTGGTCAGATTCTCAGGTAGGTTTATGTCCACTGCCAAGTTGTTGGGAGAATTATATACTTTTTTTTGGTAGTTTTTGGCCCGGGCTGGGTTTGAACCCGCCACCTCTGGCATATGGAGCCGGCACCCTACTCCTTTGAGCCACAGGCACCATCCGAGAATTAGATACTTTTTAAGCCAAATATTCTTTGAGATGAGTCTTCAGTTCTAAAGGTAATGGGTGGACCAGTTCTCTTCTTTCTGGCTGTATGTGCAATTTCTGGTCTATTCCAAAGTGAGTGGACAGATGTCTTTTGAAGAAGAATGTTAATTGCTGTCTGAGAGGTAAATCACCCAAAGGGGACAGGTGCTAATTCCTCACAGACGTGGGGTATGGATAAAAGTGTACTTTAGAGCATATTTTACAATGTGGTCCTGACTTTCTTCAATTAAAGTAATTCTTTAGTGAGGCTCTGGAGCAGACTCCAGATAAATATTAATTTGATGGTTGTAAGGGTATAGATCAAGAAATATATGTATACCAACTATTTTCAATGTGCATTATTTCAGTCCAGTCAGTTTTATTAAAATGATGGAATTTAATTCTACTTTGTTTATAATAGCCTGCAATTTTAATAGCATTATTATCTAAATAGTTTAATTATAAATGTATGAATTGTCCAAGGTCATGGTAGGCTCTTAAACTTTTGTATTTTATTTTCGTTTTGTGCTTTTAGGCTCTATATAATCGGCTGGTTCCTCTAGTAAATGGCGTCAGAGAATTTTCAGAAATTCAACTTGCTCGACTAAAAGTAAGTTTCCAGTTAAGCAGTTCATTAAAAACAAAATGCCCTAGAAACACTTCAGAAAGATCGTCAAAGCCAGAAACTTTGAACTTGATTTGGATTTGGTTTTCCAAAACTCTCTGGGGTATTAAACTGTAAAGAGAGAAAATCATATAGCAGAAAGATCACAGTATTAAAATCCTGAAACCTGGACCTTGCACCCAAGAACCAGGTGGACAATTTCTTTTTTTTTTTTAGGCAGAATCTCACTCTGTTGCCCAGGCTAGAGTGTCGTGACGTCATAACTCACAGCAACCTCAACCTCTTGGGCTTAACCAATCCTCTTGCCTCAACCTCCCAAGTACCTGGGACTACAAGTGTGCTTCTCAAAGCCCGGCTAATTTTTCTATTTTTAGTAGAAACAGGGTCTTGTTCTTGCTTAGGCTGGTCTCAAACTCCAGAGCTTAAGCAATCCATCCTCCTCTGCCTCTCAGAGTTGCTAGGATTATAGTCACCATGCCCAGCCCAGGTGAAGAAATAAATTAAAGATTTTAGGTCTCACTTTTACCATCTGTGAAATGAGAGACCCATTTTGCTCATCTATAAGTACCTTAGTCAGCTATCAAATTAGCCACTCTCAGTGGCATGTGCCTGTAGTTCCAGCTACTTGGGAAGCTAAGGCAGGAGGATCAATTGAGGCTGGGACACTTAAGGCTGGGAGCCTGAGGCTACAGTGCGGCGTGTTTTGTTTTGTTTTGATTTTTGAGACGACAGAGCATTTGATCGTGCCTGTGAATAGCCACTACAGTGGACAATGTAGTGATACCCTATGTCTTTTTTAAAAAAAATGAATTACGTTTTGTTTTTGAGTCCTTCTTCTTCGAGAGTAGCAGTTCTCAACCTAGGGGTCGCGACTCACAGGAACTGTATGAAAGGGTTGCAGCATTAGAAAGGTTGAGAACCACTGTTTAGAGAGAAGTAAATAAGAAACTAGCATTTGAAAATTCATCTATCTCAGTTTTTGTGTTAGCAAGATACAACAAGGGTACATATGAAAGTCATCTTAATTCTTACCCCTATTCTTTCTGATGCTTTTTGCTGCTTCTGGCCTTCTACAGGAATTGCTTCCCACTAGCTCTTTTTCAGAGACTTAAAACATAATCCTAAGCGGTATAATTCCTTGGTTGGCATCAGATGGTTTTGGAATTCACCCCATCGCTCCTTACTAAACCAGGTTTGGTGTGTTGAGAGTAATGAGAAATGCCACCCCTAGCAGCCATGATATGTGCAGTCTGTTTCCCGGGTTCTTTTTTTACGTGTACACTTTGTCATTCAAAACCAGTTTCTTAGGATGTTTTTTCCACAGACGTAGATGTGCTCAAAGTTTTTTCTCAATGAGTTAGAAGTAACTTGTTTTAGAAGAGCATATATATACACCCACATACATATATATATAATTTATTTGAATTTTTGTTATTTGTATTTGACAAGAAGAACTAATGAACCAGAGCATCAATTATATGGACAGCATCTGTGTCCCTTCTTTAAGCACCGTACTTGATGGCCATGTTAAGTGGCCCCGCAGGCCTCCAGCCATGGCAGCCAGCAGCAGGCACGTTATATTCATAACGTATATATATATATTCATTGCCTTCTGTCCACTGTGCTACATTTTCAGATCCAGCCTTTTAAATCGATTATACATTTTCAGGGCTGTCCACTTGCAGAAGGTATTTGGCCAGCATTTATGTATCTGATTTGAACTTGCTTTTAAAAGGATTCGCTAACCATGGAGTAAAGAAAATAGGAAGGATAATTCTGTTCAGCATCGCCTTTCTGTTCTTTCTCAAACTTACCACATTTTTCTTCTTAATCCTTAGAAACTGGGAATAAATAAGACTGATCCAAGCACCTTGACAGAAGAGGAAATGAGTCGGTTTGCCCGTCTCAACATCGACCCGTCCACCATCACCTGGCAGAGAGGTGGGTACCAGGGGGACAGCAGTGCGCTGACGGCAGGTGGGAGGGTGTCTTTGAGCTGGCGCTCTTTGGTCAATTTCATAAATGCGTAGTTTGACCCCTTCCTCTTGTCCTCCAAGCTTCACAATATTGTTCCTGCCGTCATTTGGCCATCCTTTCCCCTCGGCCTTGCCTCTGTCTGGGCACAATGCCATCTACTCAGCTCTCATCCAAATTGCAGAGGAAAATTACTTAATTTTTCTTCTGTCTCTCTCTTCCCTGGCCTCTTGTCTCTGCATTTAAACAAAACATTTAAAGCTAGTATCTTTTCTTCTTTGTCCTGCTGTTCCTCCACCCACCATCCGAATTTCTGCCTTTCCATGCCCTTAGCATGAGCTCTAGGCAGCTCTCTCATTAGGGTTTTTAATGCTAAGTTTCTGTTTGGAATCTGTTGTGTGCTTCCAGCTGTTTCTTCAGCATCCCTCTACCACTTCAGACTCCTCCTGAGCTTCCCCCGACTCCCCTGCTCCCTTCATTACATGACGCCCCCATTCGCATCCCACCCTGCCCTCCAGGTCTGGTCAGTTAACCCAGGGTGGAATGGGGCATAAACAAGTTATTTCTAATTCATTGAGGAGAAAAAGAAGCACTGAATGTGGGGACCAGGAGCCCCGAGTGTTTCCCCTGCCTGCCACCAACCCATTACATGACCCTGCACAGTTCCTACCCCACAAGGATGTGGCAGGTGCACTTTATGAGCCCCAAGGCGCTGCAGAAACATTGGATGGTTGTGGTCCTGGGCCTTCTCAGACCTGGCTCCCCACTTTAAGAGCATATTTATCAGATTCTCGATTTATTTGTTTTTTTATTTTTATTTTATTTATTTATTTTTTTAAGAGACAGGATTTCTGCCAGGTGCAGTGTCTCACGCCTGTAATTCTAGTATTCTGGTAGGCCGAGGCGGGTGGATCACCTGAGCTCAGGAGTTAGGAGACCAGGCTAAGCAAGAGCGAGACCCTGTCTCTAAAAATAGTTGGGTCTTGTGGCAGGTACCTGTAGTCCCAGCTACTTGGGAGGCTGAGGCAAGAGGATTGCTTGAGCTCAAGAGTTTGAGGTTGCTGTGAGCTATGATGCCATGACACTCTACCAAGGGTGACAAAGTGATATTCTGTCTGCAAAACAAAAATAAAAATAAATAAACAAATAAGACACGGGATTTCTCTCTGTTGCCTGGCTGGAATGCAGTGGCACCATCATAGCTCTCTGTAGCCTCAAACTCCTGGACTCCAGCAATCTTCATGCCTCATCCCAGTGAACTAGGACTATAACTGTACAGCTGCACCCAGCTGATTTTTAAGTTTTTGTAGAGGCAGGGTCTCATTATGTTGCCCAGGCTGGTCTTGAACTCTTGGCCTCAAGAGATCTTCCCTTCTTCACATCCCAAAATGCTGGGATTAGAGAAGTGAACCACGGTACCCATCCTGATGCTAAGTTGGTAGCAGTTTCCTTCTGATAACTTATCTTGCTTCCATTTCCACCCTTCAGTGTAGAGGTTCATATTAATAGAGATATTGTCATGTCACTTCCTTGCTCAGATGCCCCCAGTGGTTCCCACCATCCTGGGCCATAAAGTCGCCTTTGCATAGCTTGGCATTCAGGGCCTCTGCAGCAAGGCTCCGTTCCCTTTACCCCAGTCTGCTTGCCAGGTGGAAGGGCCCAGCTTTGTCCTTCTGCCAACCTTTGCTGAGCCATCCCCATCCCAGCACCCTGTCTGGCCCAGTCCCTCCACTTCTAGCCCAGCTCTTACCTCTTCATGAAGCTTCCCTCCTGGGAATCCGCTCAGCTAGTCTGTTAAGAATTTAGTGTTTTCACACAAACCGTGGAGAGACAAAGACCAGAGACAAGGTCTTGGCTCCACCATTTATGAGTTGCATAACTCTGGACAAACTCCTTCTTCCATTTCCTCATCTGTGAAGTGGAACGGTCATGCCAGCCTCCACACGGGACGCTCCACTGCGTCTTGAACACTTTCTGTACTTCCAAGTCCTGCCCAGATGCTCCTCAGATGTCACTGTGGCAGTAGTTGTGTTGTGTCATTTTTCTGTGTCTCTTTGTCTCCCAAATTAAATTAAAATCTCCTTAGAAACCTTTGAGGATATAGTTTTCATTTAAAAATAAGTAATAATGCTATAGTGATTTGGGAAATTCCTCAAAAGAATAAAAACCATTATCTTATAATACCAATAAAACTTCTCTATTCATAGATTTTTGTTGCAGCTGAGTTTTGTGTGAAGCTCTCATTATAATTTAGGTGTTCAGATTTTATATCAACTGACATGAGTATTTGCAGCATTTTATTGGGAAGCCTATATATTTTTTCTAAAAAAAATTTATAACAGCTAGGAAGATTAATGATTAAAATGTTATTATGGGCTGCATATGGTGGCTCATACCTATAATCCTAACACTCTCATTGGCCAAGGCGGGAGGATCCCTTGAGGCCAGGAGTTCAAGAACAGCCTGAAAAAGAGGGAGATGCTATGTCAACTAAAAATAGAAAAATTAGCCAGGTGTTATGTTTGGCACCTGCAGTCCCAGCTTCTTGGGAAGAGGAGGCAGGAAGATTTGAGCCCGGGAGTTTGCGGTTGCTGTGAGCTTAGCTGATGCCATGGCACTCTAGCCTGGGGTAACTGAGTGAACTCTGTCTCAAGAAATAATAGTAAATAAATAAATAAAAATAAAATCTCATTGTGTCCAAAATATATAGTTGCCTTTTTAAAAGGCATGTGTGAATGTTTTACTCCTTAAAACTTTCTTGGAGGGGGCAGCGCCTATGACTCAAAGGGGTAGGGTGCCGGCCCCATATACCAGAGGTGGTGGGTTCAAACCTAGACCCAGCCAAAAAGTGCAAAAAAAAAAAAAAAAAAAAAAATTTCTTGGAGGTTTATCTGTGAATGAAAGATCCTGTAGGAGAAATTTGTGCGTTTTAAATCAAACGTGTGGATGTGCTAAGAGACATTCATTTTTACGCGATTAGCACTCTTCCACTTCTGTCCTGGACACATGTTAGACATAGGGCACTGGCCCAGGGTGTCCACTTCAGTCTGGACGCATGTTAGACATAGGGCACTGGCCCAGGGTGTCCACTTCAGCCTGGACACATGTTAGACATAGGGCA